CTCTCCCGAATATATATATATATATATGTATAGTGTGTGTGTGTGTGTGTGTGAAAATACGAGTAACTTATAGTACTATTATTTCATATCAAGTACTATAATGATTTATATGAAGTCTTCAGGTTCAAATCGAGAACATAAGTTTATGCAATAAAACTCAAATGTTGAGATTATATGTATATGTACTCGAAAAGGCTATTACTTTGTGATTCAATGATATGAGTCATATCACGCAATTTGAAATTATTTTTGATAGCTCAAGAAGAAACGTAACTATGAGTTTTGGATCATTGAAATTGAAGATCCATTTATGTGTTATAAGGAATATGCAAATATTTCATATGAGAATGCGTCTTAAAGACACAACAAAGTATTATTGTATCTTGAGGATACAAATAAAGTATTGGTAATACGTGTCTCGATGACACAAATTGAATATATGTTGCTATAAATTTTGTAAGAGAAAATATTCTCTAATCCATATGACTTGAAATGCTCTATCAATAGCAACATTTTGATTTAAATTATGCTCCTGAAGTAGCAACATAAAAATTAAAGTTGCACTTGTACTAGCAAACATCAAGAAATTTTGATAACATATTGTTGGTGAAAGTACCTACATGCAAGTGCACGTATCGTACAAGTAATAAAGTGGATTTTTAAGTCCAAGTATCGATCCCACAGAGAATATTTAATTATATAATTCTAGACGTTAAATTCTACCAATTGCTATCAAGCTCACCCTACACAGTCGCAAGATGATTAATTAACTAAATTAAAATAAACTAAATTAAAGCAAATTCAAATGACAAAGAAAAAAAGCAAATTAAACACGAAGATTAATCAAAGTAAACAAGCCTAGGATTTTATTTTTCACCCTATGTGATTATTACTCCCCCAATTCCTTCAATTATGCAAGTAATTAACCCGGATTATTAACCTGAGATGCTAAATTAATCATAACCCGCTTCCGCGTGTATTACAATTCTAATACTCTAGATTCAATTACTGTATTCCTACGCAATTAATTCTAGAACCCAACATTAAGCACAAATATCAATAATGGCTACCTAAGAGATTAATTATATTCCTATGTTAATACCACAAATGCTCTTCTACCACAGTTCTAATTATTAACCCGATCTTCTGATTCATGCGATTAACAATAACATAAAAGCACATAAGGTGATCAAGTTTGATGAACTTAATAAAACAAGTAGAAGAAATAATCTGGAATTAAAACTTGCATAAAATCATAGAATTGAGTTAATAAATCCCACATAGGGTTCAAAATAAAATCCCTAGAAACTAAAGACTTATTTACTCGTGATTCTTATGATAAAGAAAATAAAATAAATAAATTAAATAACAAAAACTATGCTTGAGTCTTCGTTGATCTTCGTTCCTCGCGTTTTGTGGTGTAAAATTTCGTGCTTATGGTGTAGAGACTTGTTGCTTTTAAAGGTTTTTCTTGATAAGGAAGTAGTGGAAACCTAATAAGAATCAATTTCCGCCACTTTTCCCCACCAGGATTTGTTTTTCGATTTTCGCCATGTTAGTCTGAATTTTGGAATGTTGCGTGAATAAGAATTGTAGCCCTTGAAATTATCTTTCCAATGCCGCCAAAATCATGTGATTTGGAGTTCGTATGAGAGAGACATGCTCAAAATGGTAGACACTGCCAAAGCTGTGGCGAGATTCCTTCGTCCAATTTGATTTATTTCCTTACTTGCAACTTTTTCCTTTCTTTTTGATTTTTTTCCTTCATGAACATCTAATTCTCTTTTTTTCACCTATAAAACACAAAATCAATCAATTAAAACACAAATATAATTAAATCTAAACAAAAGATACACGTAAAGTAAACGTATTGAGCGTAAAATCTACACTCAACACATATCGTAGTATAATACAAGTTGTGGAGCTAAAATTGAAATAATGCAAAGCTCGTTTGATTGTTGTTTTTCTTTGACAGTTAAAACAACAAAATATTTCAAGAGATATCTTAAATGGCCGAATGGCAACAAGGTCCATCCCAAATGACTTAAATGCACATTGATCCACAAAAAAAAAAAAACAGTCTTTCAAATAAACTCATCCATGTCATTAGTCAAAAATACCCTCCATAATATATTGTTTTATCAATTCCATCCATTATGCTCTAACTTCCTTAATATTACACATTGACCACGGATTTAAACAAATATATCACATTAACCCCCATTTTAATAAATTTTTGAAAAAAATATTTTTTTTCACAAAATAATTTTTTTTCTGAATTTTTTTTTCCGGCCAGATTCCGGCATTCACTTTCTTTTTTTTTTGAATTTGTTTTCCAGCCGGTCAACCACCGTTGACCGCCGGTCTCCGGCGTTAACCTTTTTTCGATTTTTTATTTTTGAAAATTTGAAATTTCTTAGAAAAAATATTTTAATTAATATTTCTGTCTTGGCTGCTAAATTAATGTCTGAAGAGTAATATTACTGTCCAAACAGTAATATTATTGCATAAGACAGTTAAATTACTGTTGGAGACAGTAATTTAGCAGCCAAGACAGTAATATTAATTAAAATAATTTTTTTAAGAAAAAATAAAATTTCAAAAAAAAAAAGTCAATTAACAGTTAAATTACTGTCTCTGACAGTTAAATAACTGCTGGAGACAGTAATTTAGAGCAAATACAATAATATTAATTAAAAAAAAATTAAGAAAAGAAAAAGTCAATTAACAGTTAAATTACTGTCTCTGACAGTTAAATAATTGCTGGAGAGACAGTAATATTAATTAAAATATATTTTTAAGAAAAAAAAAGGTCAATTAACAGTTAAATTATTGCCTCCGACAGTTAAATAACTGTTGGAGAAAATAATTTAGCAGCCAAGACAATAATATTAATTAAAATATTTTTTTAAGAAAAAAAAAAAGAAAAAAAGAAGAAGAAAAAGTCAACGCCACGGCGGCTGACCAGCGGTCTCTGGTGGTGGCGGGTCAAAATTGGGGTCAAAATTGAAATTAGGGTCAAATTTGGTTAATTGGTGAAATTTGGCTAAATTGGTGTGTAAATGATAAAATTGGAGTTCAATTGGGTTTCAATGAATTGGGGGTAGTTTTGGTATATATATGAGGGTTTTCTTATTTGTAAATAAGTTTGAATGAGCTGGAAATATTTGCAAGACAAAAAGTTGGATGTCACTTTTTGAATTAAGTGCACATGGGCCTATTTGCCATTTGCCTATCTTAAATAGATATCATGGTACTTATTACAATATGAATTTATCTCACCATTAGAGGTGAAGAGATGTGAGAAATATGAAAAATGATTGGTCATAAATCCATTTCACGATAAAACATGTTTATAAGCTTTATCAAGCACCAACACAAAAACAAAAGAAAATGCATAGTTTTGGAGTCACGATATTGACCAATTCAATTAAAGT